TTGACCACATTTTGAGTCCCAGACCTGGTAGCTTAAACTCACGCCAGGCGTGTGTGCATGCGTGTCCAAGATCCCAAGAGGAGAAGAGAGGAGAAGGGACTGTGGCGTGGCCATCTACCCCGGGCAGTCAATTCTTGCTTTCTGTCTCTTTGTCTCTTTCTGGTAAATGCACGTGCCCTAAAGCCAAAATCTCTCCCCCCCAAAAAAAGGAATTTATTATTTTATTTTAATTTACCATAAGGAACATGTATAAGAAAAAAAAAAGTGAGAAAGTAAGCCACCAGGTTTGGGACTCAAACCACGGTTGGCCATGTGGGAGTCCAGTGATTCAACCAACACACTACCTGCTGCCCTCTCGTGTAAATTTTAGAATAAACTTGTGCATGTACACAAAAATCTTTGTTGAGATTTTTAATACAGAAAGGACTATATTAAATCTACAGATTAATTTAAGAGGAATTCTTTAGCAACGCTTAAATGGAAAGCTAGTTTCAAACTGCTGGGACTGGAGTGCCAGGAAAACTCAGAAGCCAAGACAGCCAGAGCCCAGTACAAAGACAGGCCAATCTATGATGAGCAGACAGGTGTGAATGAGCAGAGGAGACATTAAGAAAATCAAGACTGGGAACCAGCAGTTAGCATAATGGCTATGTCGCTGGACTACCACGTAGTCGACCGCAGTTCGCGTCCCGGACCCGATGGCTTAAAACTCACACCGGGCATGTGTGTATGTGTGCCCAAGATCCCGAGAGGAGAATGGAGGAGAAGGGGGTGACCATCCCCCCTGGGGGTGATTTCTTGCTTTCTGTCTCTATGTCTCTGTCTGTCTGGCGCACGCACACGCCCTACAGCGAAAACCTCTCCAAGAAAAAAAAAGAAAATCAAGACTGAAAGAGGAGCAGGTCAGGGAAACAGGGAAGGATGCAGTCATCCACAGCATGAGGCACTAAAGACCAAGAAACTAAGGTATGGCCCAAGCTCTGATTGTGCTGACAGTAGGCTGATAATGGAGTCACATAAGAAGGCCCAAGGGCTAGCCAGGTGACATGGTAGTTAAGGTGGTTGTATCTCAAGTGAATGACTATGTGGTTTGCATCCCAGACCCAGTGGCTTGAAAATAAAAAAAACCAGGAGTGTGTGCGTGCATGCCCAAAATCCCAAAAAGAACGGAGGGACCAGCAGTTAGCATAATGGCTATGTCGTTGGACTCCCATGTAATCAACCGTGGTTCAAGTCCCAGACCCGATGGCTTAAAACTCACGCCGGGCGTGTGTGCGTGTGTGCCCAAAATCCTGAGAGGAGAAAGGGGGAGAAGAGACTGTGGCATGGCCATCCCCCCTGGGGGGTTACGAGTGACTTCTCACTTTCTGTCTCTGTCTTTCTGGCAAGCGCACAAGCCCTATAGCAAAAAAACAAAAAACAATACAAAACAAAACAAAAAAACAATGGAGAAGGAATGTGGCAGTCATCTCCCTGGGGGTGCTTTCTTACTCCTCCTCTCACCACCTCCATCTCTTTTTGTCTCTCTCTGGCAAGTGTATGCAACACACAGCACAAACTTAAAAACATACACACACACACACACACACTTAAAAAAAAAAAAGAAGGCAGCCCACGATTCAGATCCCAGATTGACCTGGCCATATGTGGCATGCCCACAGTGCTGGCTGGCTAAAAGGGTAGGGGGAGGACTGCACTGTGGCAAGACCCTGTTAGGGCACCCTCTCTCTCTACCTTCTTCTCTCTCATGGAAAAAAATCTTAAAAAAAAAAAAAAAAAAAAAGATGGGACTAGCAGTTGGCGTAATGGCTATGTAGCTAGACTCCCATGTAGTTGACCATGGTTCGGGTCCCAGACCCAGTGGCTTAAACTCACACCGGGCATGTGTGCATGCGTGCCCAAGATCCTGAGAGGAGAATGGAGAAGGGATTGCACTGTGGCCATCCTCCCTGGGGGGGATAATTTCTAGCTTTCTGTCTTTCTGGCAAACGTACAAAAGAAAAGAAAAAGAAAAGGAAGGCTGACCCCAGCGGTTAAGCTCTGTGCATAAGAAGCAGGATCCTATAGTCAGAATCCATGCCCTAGCAGCTTGAAAAACATGCCAGGATGGCTGCATGATTGCCCAAAATCCTGACAGGATGGAGAAATGGAGGAAAAAGGGTTGGATCAGTCCTTTGGATGTGGCAACTCAAGAGTGGTTCCTCAAGGGACCAGCAGTTAGCATAATGGCTATGTCGCTGGACTCCCACGTAGTCGACCGCGGTTCGCATCCCGGATCTGGTGGCTTAAACTCACGCCGGGCGCGTGTGCATGCGTGCCCAAGATCCCGAGAGGAGAATGGAGGAGAAGGGATTGCGGCGTGGCCATCCCCTCTGGGGGGTGATTTCTCGCTTTCTTATCTCTTTGTCTCTCTCTGTCAGTCTGGCGAGTGCAGTGCCCTATAGCAAAAACGTCTCCCTAAAAAAAAAAAAAAGAGTGGTTCCTCAAAGATCCCAAATAGAGCAGCAATCAGCAGGCAGACAGGCTACAGATAGGCAAAGGGAGGGAGGGAAGAGCAGGTGTTGCTGCCAAGGTAAACAGAAAAGGGGGAGGGGACAGTAGGAAAAGGCATTTTGTCCCCCAAGGGAAGCTTCAGGAGGAGGACTCAGCATACTCACTGCCTGAGGGAAAAGACCAACACAGAACCACAAACAAAGAGTAAAGTCTACATACAGGATAAGATAAAAGCACATTACAGGCGTAGGGCTAGCAAGACCCTGCCCACAGATGCCCCTGGCAGAACTACCCTCTCCTCTCTGTCCAGCACTGTCCAATGACAGCGAGTCCCAGACCCGGCAGCTTTAAGCTCATGCCAGGCACGTGTGCACGCATGCCCAAGATCCTGAGAGGAGAATGGAGAAGGGACTGGTGTGTTGCCATGGGGGGGTGGTGATATCTTGCTTTCTCTCTCTCTGTCTGTCTCTCCAGCGAGCACACATGGCCTACAGCAAAAATCTCTCAAAACAAACAAAACACACACACACACATATATATTTATTTAATAAGCATTTTCATATTATCTGTACAATCATTTAGAAGGCCATCTTTCACCTCATCTCTAGGAACTCATCAGAAAATGACCCCGGGCTGGTCATTATCTTACTTGTATCCTCTGTCAGCATTTAGACAATGCTGTAAACTTATGCTACAGATATGCTTCTACATATATGTTTTCCTGGGGTAAATTATCCCAGACCTGGGACTACCAAGGAAAGGAGAGCCCACAGTAAAGCTGATATCAGCAGACTAGCAGGTGGTATGGTGGTTAAGGTACTGGACACTCCCACATGGCCAACTACAGTTCAAGTCCCAGACCTGGTGGCTTGCTGTCTTGCTTTCGCTTTCCCTCTCCCTCCCTCTCTCTGTTTCTCTCTCTGGTCAAATTAAAATAAATGAATGAATAAATTAATTAATAATTAAAAAAAGCGATAGTGATCAAACGCCCTTCAAGAAAGTTTAACCTTTTTTTATACCACATACAACTCTCCCAATAGTCAAAAGTGGTGGTTTTCAGCTCTTCTATAGTGAAATATTACAATGCTTCCATGCAAAAGAGATAAAGCCTTCTGCTCTAGTCACTTAATCAGGACCCAATGACTAGAGAGCCAAAGTATTGCCCACATGTCTCCTAACCCAGCCCATATCCCAAGGCTGGCACCAGACTCCCCACAGGCCCACAGAGACTTGCTGACTGACCGTTCTTAAGTCTACTTAGTACCAGATAAGCCTCAACGGCAGCTAGGAGAGCTGAAATGCAAGGCAGATCCCATGGTCGACTTAACCCTCAGATGCCTTGCCAACAAGGAGACCACCATAAGTGGTCATAAGATCCTCAGAGACTGTTTTTATGAATCTGAAAGCCAACGCAGAGTAAGCACTCACAATAATATTCACTATAGTCTTAAGAAAGAGTGGAAGAATATGGCTATACTCAAATCTATTTACACCCCCCCAATCTGTTTTCAAGCTCTAAGCCCAAAGGTGTCAAAGACTGACAAAACACTGATACTTACAGATGGTCTCTAAAAATTTAAACATACCAGCAAAATCAAACTGAGAAAACACATCTAAGGACTTAAGAGAAATACTAAGATGAGTTCCAGGTTAAGTCCAATTTAACTAGTGCACATCCATAGGACCAGCCAGCAGATGGCATAATGGTGATGTTGCTGGACTTCCACATAGTCTACCACAGTTTGAGTCCTGGACCTGACAACTTGAAACTCATGCTGGGCACATGTGCATGTGTGCTCAAAATCCCAAGAAGAGAACGGAGAAGAAGGGATTGAGGCATGGCAATCCTCCCTGGAGGGTGATTGCTCGCTTTCTGTCTCTCCAAAGAGCACAGGCATCCTATAGTAAAAATCTCTCTTAAAAAAAAATTGGGGGCCAGCAGGTGGGCGAGGTGGTTAAGGTGCTGGATACTCCCAGATGGCCGACCACAGTTCGAGTGCCGGACCTGGCAGCTTCCTTTCACCCTTTCACTCTCTCTCTGTCTCTCTTTGGTCAACTTAAAATAAGTAAATGAGGGAACCAGCAGTTAGCGCAATGGCTATGTTGCTGGACTCCCACGTAGTCGACCACGGTTCACGTCCCGGACCCGGTGGCTTAAAACTCATGCCGGGCACGTGTGCGTGCATGCCCAAGATCTCGAGAGGAGAATGGAAGAGAAGGGATTGCGGCGTGACCATTCCCCTGGGGGATGATTTCTCGCTTTCCGTCTCTATGTCTCTGTCTGGCAAGCACACGTGCCCTATAGCAAAAATCTCTCCTCCCCCCCTCTCCCAAAAAAGAATACAATTAAATAATTAAATAATAATAATAAACCATTAAAAAAATTAACTGATGTGCATCCAAAATAGAAAAACTATTATTCACAAATAAAGGTTTAAAACAAGGCAAGGTCTATTCAAAATACAAAAACTGGTTCTTGTTCTTATACCTCACAGCAAAATACTTACCTTCATAAGGGGTCATTTCAGGGCCTCGGACAACATAGTGCCTAAGAGAGAGAAAAAATTACTTGGGATTTGGAGATGGCAAAGTCTCTAAAATCTGAATCACTACGAGGCTGGAGTTTTTTGGACCCAGCAAAAACCAACTTCTCAAACATTTAGTCAGGGAACAAAATGAGGGCTAAATGGCAACACAGCTCCAAAGCCCTAAGTCTCTTTTGCTGCAGGTGCTTCATGTCATAAAATGATATAAAGCCTATATGTTATTTATTTAATTTTTTGTGTAGTTTTTGCTGTGCACTTGCCAGAAACAGAAAAAGACAGGGAAAGTGAGAAATCATCTCCTGGGGATGATGGCCATGCTGTAATTTCTTCTCCATTTTCCTTGGGACTTTGAACATATAGACACACACACCTGGAGTGTTTTTCGAGCTGCTGGGTCTTGGACTCAAACCATGTAGTTGACCACGTGGCCTTCAGCCACCTTAACTATATGCCATCTGGCTGGCCCATGGCTATATATTAGAAATCTAGGTTTTCTATAGAGTACTTTTGTTTCAATAATACAACATGCAAGAAGTTAACCCTTGGGCCAACTAGTGGCATAGCAGTAATTCAAACAGACCTACATGAGAAATGTCTTGAGTTTGCATCTCAGGACCTCTCTGAGCATACCTGACATATACACGTGCACACATGCATACCTGTGATCCAGAAGACTGAGGGCTGGATGGAGGTGAGAAGACCCTAGTTGGAGGTGCCTCTCTCTCTCTCTCTCATGGAAAAAATAAATAAGCTTAAAAGAATTATTTAAAAAGCTAATACTATACTACTTAGCCACAAAGAACAGTGACACTCTGTCAACCAGTACAATGTGAAAAATATGGAACGTTTAAAGCTAAGTGAAATAAGTAACTGCGAAAAACAAACACTCTGGAACCAGCAGTTGGCTATATTGCTGAACTCCCATGTAGTGGACTACGGTTCAAGTCCCAGACCCGGTGGCTTAAACTCATGACAGGCGTGTGTGCGACCAAGATCCCGAGAGGAGAATGGAGGAGAAGGGATTGTGGCATGGCCATCCCCGTGGCGGGGGGGGTTTCTCACTTTGTGTCTCTCTGGCGAGTGCATGTGCCCTATAGCAAAAACCTCTCCAAAAAAAAGAAAAACAAACACTGTATATCCTTAATACATGCCAAATATCTGTACTCTAAGGCAGAAACTGAAAGATTCAAAACATAATGGTAAAAGATAAAAGTATGTAAATACCAGAGACTAGATGGGAGGGAAGGAGGTAGAGGGGGATGGATAGGTGGGGCTCAGGCAAAAGGCATTTAACAGACACAAGAATATAAGGGTTTTTGTTGAAAATGATGTATGAACTTCCAGCAAGCACAAAGGCCCTCTGAAATCCTTGATATGATTATCACACATTGCAGGCATACTGTACAGCATAAAGATGTATAATGATTAAATGTAAGTAGGAAATTACACAATTTCCTATTGTATACAATAAAATTTTATTGTCCACAATAAAATCAGTAGATCAGCAGATGGTTAAGGTGCTGGATCCCACATGGCCAACTGCCTAGTACAAGCCCTGGACCCAGCAGCAAAAGGCAGGCACATGTGCATGCATGTTCAAAATACCTAGAATGGAAGGGAAGGAACTTCAGCATGGACATCCCCCCAGGGGGTGATTTTTCACTTTCCTACTCTGTCTCTTTCTGATGAATGTACATGCCCTAGGCCAAAAACCTAAAAAAGAATAAAATAGGGGCCAGAAGGTAGTGTGGACATTAAAGTGCTGGATTCCCACATGGCTGATTGCAGTTCAAATCCTGTACCTGGTGGCTTGAAAATCACAGCAGGCAAGTGTGCACATATGGCCAAAATCCCAGGGGGAGAAGGGATTGTGGTATGGCCATTCCCCACCCCAAGGGGGGGTGATTTCTCACTTTCCCTCTCTCTGTCTCTGTCCAGTGAGCACACACACTCTATGGCTAATAAGTAAATAAAAATAAAATTGGTGAAAAAAGTCAGTTAATCCTCTAGTTATTAATACTGACCTCCCCCCACCAACTTGCCAGAGGGCAAATTGCCAGAGAGAGACAGAGAGGGAGAAGGCACTCCCATGCACTGGTGACTGGCCATGCCACAGTCACTTCTCCACTTTTCCATCCTGTTGAGATTTCAAGCACACACGAACAGGCACTCAGCATGTTTTTCAAGCCTCTGGGGTCAGGATTCAAACCATGCAGTGGACCATGTGGATTCAGTTCCTTCAACCACTAGGCCTTCATCAACTGTCATTTTTAAAAATTAATTTCACAGACCAGCCTGTGGTGTGGTGGTTTAAGGTGGCTAGATACCACACAGCCATACTTTGTCAGACCTGGAAGCATGAGGGTACATGCATGTGCATGCCGAAATCCTGAAAGGAGAGAGAAATGGAAAAGAGATTATGGTGTCACCATTCCCTATGAGGAGTAATTTTTCACCCCTACCTCCCAGCACCCTATTTGCCTCCTTCCAGCAAGGGCATAAGCCTCTGGCCCAAAATAAATAAATAAATAAATAATCTCACAATACGTTATTAAGATGTATTTGAGGGGCCAGCAGGCGGTGTAGTGGTTAAAGCAGTGGACTCTTGTGTGGTTGACCACAGTTTGAGTCCCAGACCCAACAGCTTGAAACTCACACCAGGCATGTGCCTAAAATCCCAAGAGGAGAATAGAGAAGATATTGCAGGGTGGCCATCCCCTCCGTGAGGTGATTTCTCGCTTTCTGTCTCTCCAGAGAGCACATGTGCCCTATAGCAAAAATCTCTATTAAAAAAAAAAAAAGGGAGACATATTTGAAATTTTGTTTTTTAAATGTCTGAAAATTATGTTACATATACATAAGTGTATATAACTTACATTTTAAAGGTCATACACATAGGCTAAACATGGCAAAGCTAGTGATGGGTTGACTCTATGTCTGCTTTCCCCATCTACCTGCTGACATTACTAGAAAAACAGAAAACCTCAGAGCAGTTGTTCTCAAGCAGGAGAAACAAGGACAAGCTGTGACTGTCCCCAAAACCCTCACAGAGCTCAACATCAGACCCAAAACACCAGCTAACAGACTCCACATTCCCCGATACAAATAAATAAGGTTTTAACTTTAGGTAATGAGGTGTTTGGGTTTAGATTCTCAAACAAAACAAAAAAGTACAGAATATAAAGCAAAACTAACCAGAAATGCTAGAAATCAGTAGTTGTATATGACTGTAAACACTGTGGGTAGGGAATACTAACCAATTGCAGGAACAAGACAAAGACTAAGAATGAGGATTCCTGTGCTGGAGGACTGGTCATAAGTCCAAGTAGCTATTAAACAGGTAAGTTGTTAAGTGAGGAGTGGCTGTACTGTACACAGTCCAAGAAACTGGGATGAAGCAACAAAGAAGTCTGTTTGAGATAGAGCCCACCAAGTCCTGGGTAACGGAGAACATAAGACCTACTATGCTGGGAGGACAGGCCTGCATGGCCTCAGCTCATCAAACACTCTCTTCTAGAATGGCACTCTTCTCTTAGCCAAAACACTGCAGGTTGTATAAAAGTCTCAGCAGGCCCAACACTAAGCAGCACTACTATGTTTAATGCTGAGTCCTCTTAGTGAGCATCAAACCTGGAGTGGTCTTGGGAAGCCTCAGGCCACAGACATATCCAATACGGATATTCCCATTAAATCAGGGAAGTGAAAACTACCTGTGAAACCAGTCCCTGCATCTGCCAACTATGTCCTGGGAGCCACATTTGACTTTTGTTTGGAGCAAGGATGGCTCTGGCACCACACAGAGGCTGCTTAAGGGACAGTGCCTTGCCCAGGAATCCTCCAACTACCAAGATTGGACCTCCCCTATAAAGTGGAGAAGGTAAAGTGTGGAAAATTACTTCTTTTTACTTGGTTAAATCCCTTTTCTCTGGATTTAAAAAAATAATAATAATTAAGTTGACTTTTCCATACACCACAATCTACACTCAGCAAGACCCAGATCATGGGTGCATACACACCACGTATACTCAAGGAAGCATGTGAACACAAACCCAAAACGTTCTCATGTAGGTTCTACTTCTATGTCACTCTCTGGTCCCTTAAAATATTTTCTTAAGATTGGGACCAGCAGGTGGTGTGGTGGTTAAGGCACTGGACACTCCCAAATGGCCGACCAGGGTTCGAGCCCTGAATCTGGTGGCTTGCTTTCTCACTTCCTTTCTCTCTCACTCTCACCCTGGTCAAATTAAGAAATAAATGAATAAATAAATAATTATTTTTAAAAAATATTTTCTTAAGATCAAAACAAAACATTCTTTGAACAAAAAGAAAATGCTTTTTGCTATCTCAGCCTTATACTTTCTCACAAAACCACCAGCTAGCGTGGCAATGGTAGCATTTCTATAGACCTGTGTGGAATCTCCTAACTGCACATTTTAACACCGAAGAGTTCTCATGAGATAAAATGAACACTCATGGGTTCTCTCACTCACACTGGCCCCCAGGCCAATGCTGGGGGCTAGAGTGTCAGGACACTACCCCATCATGGACACTCCTAAGTCAGACCGATGCCTTCCAGTATCCAAAAGCAAAAAAAAAATCAAAGAAACTCAAAGAACTCTTCTTCTAGAAGAGTTTCATTTATACTCTTCTTAGAAGAGTTTCTCCTTGAGGGACCAGCAGTTGGCGTAATGGCTGTTTGCTAGACTCCCACGTAATTGACTGCAGTTTCAGTCCCGGACTCGATGGCTTAAACTCACACCAGGCGCACATGCACGTGTGTGTGCCCAAGATCCTGAGAGGAGAATGAAGAGAAGGGATTGTGGCATGGCCATCCCCCTGGGGGGTGATTTCTCACTTTCTGTCTCTCTCTGTCCTTCTGGTGAGCACACACGCCATATAGCAAAAACCTCACAAAAAAAAAAAGTTTCTCCTTTAAGTGCTCAACCCCCAGGACATACATAATCGATAGCTATAAAGCCTTCACTGCCAGCACTGAGGACCCTTTCAGAAGAATTCTGTTTCTAGCCCTAGCCTAAATGAGGCAGGATGTGTGGTGTCCTTGGCATGCTACCTATTGGAGAGAAGACCAGACAGTGTCCACGGGCCTCTCCATCTCTACTTACACTGAGGAGGATGCTGGGCTGCTTCTCCAGTGTCATGACTAACACCAGGCCCACCCAGTCAGACCAATGGTGCAGGGGTGAAAGGTGACACAGAGCCTTACCATTCAAGAATATTTGAAGGGAGGGGCTCAGCACAGATGTAAGGCACTGGATCTTTCTTAATTCGAAGGTAGTCCTGTTTCAGTCTCTGGGTTGCTGTTGTTGGAGCTCTCTTATTGCTGTTGTTGCTCATCTATTAAAAATAAATGTTTATTTACATTTACAAATACAAGAAATGGACAAGTATAGCTTTCCTCATTCAAGACACCTTCAGCAGCACAACCTGTGCTTTCATTTCCACAGCTCATCATCCATTCAGGTCCCCACCCTGATGTATACATCTCATCCTAGGCACCCAGAATCATAGCCCACAGGTCACCCTGACTTGCCCAGATGCCCACAAACCCTAAGGATTCTCTTTCCCATCTGTCTTGCCACCACTTTCATTTATACAACATATATTATTGAGCACCCGACACAGATGCAAACAGAGGGAGAATCCTAAAGCACTGCAGCCCTCACAGAACTTAAATAAGGAAGACAACTAATTTTAAAAGTCATGGGTAGGGGGCCTGGCAGGTGGCGTGGTGGCTGAGGGCGCTGGACTCCCACATGGTCGACTGCAGTTCAAGCCCCGAACCTGGTGGCTTGCTGTCTCACTTCCTCTATCTCTCACTCTGTCTCTCTCTGGTCAAATTAAAGTTAAATAAGATCATTTAAAAAAAAGTCATGGGTAGGGAGAAAGCCGAGAATTCCATTTAAAGGAATTCCATTTGAGTCTACCATACCAAACCTCACTCTCCCAAGTTGAAAAAATTCATGGACAAGAAGTTACTGAAATGATAACATGTCCAAGTAATACTGTGGGGATTTGATCCCAATATGAATCTCATGATAGATGAATGTGTGGAGATGGCAAATAGTGGGCAACAGAATAATACTGGAATGGTAGAAATATGAGAAAATAGTTATCATCATGCTAGAAGCCTTGGCATGAGTATAAATAAAGGCTGTTCAACGGAAAAATCCGTGTCCCTGGGCACTAGCAGCTGGTGTAATGGCTATGTCGCTGGACTCCCATGTAGTTGACCGAAGTTCAAGTCCCAGACCCGGTGGCTTAAACTCACACCAGGTATGTGTGCATGTGTGCGTGCTCAGGATCCCGAGACAGGAATGGAGGAGAAGGAACTGTGGCTCGGCCATCCTTCCTGGGGGTGATTTCTCACTCTCTGGCTCTCTGGCTCTCTCTGTCTTTCTGGTAAGCACACGTGCCCTATAGCAGAAACCTCTCAAAGGAAAAAAAAGAAGGAAGGAAGAAAGAAAAAAGAAAAATCCGTGTCCCCTCTCTACAGGGCCTCTTTTACTATGATATAAAAATCACGTCATGAGGACAGCAAGAGGCATGGTGGTTAAGGCGCTGGACACTCCCACATGGCCGACCACGGTTCAAGTCCCAGACTTGGTGGCTTGCTTTCTCACTTTCCCTCTGTGTCTCTCTCTGGTCAAATTAAGAAAAATAAATAAATGATCAATAAACTTACATAAATAATTTTTAAAAATAAAAATCAGGTCATGTATATTTTCATAATAAACTATTTGTGCTCAGTAATATCTCACCAGAGGAGTATTTACACCAAGGAAATTGGCAAGCACCTTAAACCAGCACCCCTTCCATCACTTCTCACTCCAAAACCTATTACCCAACATTTACCAGTGATGACAAGTGAAAGGAGCTAGGGAGCAAAGAAAAAGCCAGAGGGACAAAAACTCTAAAGACTCAAAGACCCTCATTGGCCAGAGGGAAGATATGCCTTCCAGGTAGAAGGAGTCACAGCTGGACAGGCAGGGCCTAAAAAAGCAAAACATGCCTAGGGGACAGCAAGGGTCACTGTATCAGGAGACCAAGCACACAAAGGGTGGGCAGTAAGATTGGCCAAGAAGGAAAGTCCAGGGCATCAAGGCAGGGTCAGACCACCCCAGAAAGGTTTTAAGTCTAAATGTTAAGGCAGATCAGATCTTGTTAGAAAGGTTACCCTGGTGGCTCAGCATGGGAAGTACAGAACACTGTGAAGGCTGAGCATGTGGAATGAGGTAGTGTTATCAAAAGAAATGTCAGCAGGTGGCATGGAGATTAAGGCAGCTGGATCCTACATGACCAACTCTGAGATTCAAGTCCCAGTGGCTTAAAAACACACTAGTGCATGTGCATGCATGCCCAAAATCACAACAGAAGAGAAAAGAAGGGACTATGGCATGAGAAGGGGTGACCTCTCTCTTCCCTCCGTCCTTTCTTCCCTCTTACAAGCACATGTGCCCCATAGCAACCACCAATAGATAGATAGATAGATAGATAGATAGATAGATAGATAGATAGATAAAAGGAGACAGGAGCATTGGGACCTCTCAACTATGTCCTGAGTGCTACAGAATAAAGCGTGAAAACCAGTGGTCTAAAATATGATAGGAATTCATGTGAGGATATAAAAGAGTAGGCAAGAGGTGGGCATCTGGGCTACAATGGGGACCATAGGACATAGGCCACCACACTTTCCTGCTGCTGTCAGTCCCAGATCTGCCCACTACAGCCTCTCCCAGCCATCATCACTTGGCCATTCAGTGTCCCCAGCTTGTCTCACACAGCACTCTCTGAGCAAACACCTTAATAACAGTCCAAGACACTAGTGACTATCAATAATAGTGATGTCCACCTTGATCTCCTAGTACCTAGAAATCTGAACCCATCTCAGTCCCAGGGTCTTTGCATTTATGATTCCCTTCAGATAGTACATGCTGTTCACCCCTTTCAGTCTCGACTTGCACATCATCTAAACAGAGGTCCTGACTCTTGGCTTCTTTGCATGGTTTATTTCTCTGAAGAGTACTATCGCCATCAAACTGTTTAGTGTCTACCTCTCCGACCAGTATCAGCTCCTAGCAATAACTGGGACTTGTGCTTGCTCTGTACCCCTAGGTTGTGCAGAGTTGGGCTCAGCCAGGACACCCAGTTCTCTCATGTACATGGCCTCAGCACTTGTCTACCCCTGCTTCTAATTCTGGAAGTCCCTGGCCCGTATGATCCTTGTTCATCACCTCCTTGTCATTCCTATTATACTAACCTAATGAAGGATCTTGTTACTTTTCCCATCGACTAACACCACAGCCTCCAAACTTCTCCCCAGTGAGTTCAGAAGGTCTCCCAGCATCTAGTGTCACTTCCCATTTCAGTCCATCTTGTACATTTAAGTTCTGATCATCCACTCCTCCCCATAGACCTTTGGCAATCTCTCCCAAACAAGCAAATAAACACTGACATCCCCTCTCATTTGCCAATCCCTCCACAAAGCAGCCCCAGCCTGCCCAACTCCCAAGGCAACTGATACAGTCTGACAAACCCCTGAGTAGCCCACCCACCCATCTATCTTCTTTCCATGGCTGCTTCCCAGTCCATTCTCTACTGATAGAGAACTCACCTAGGCTTTTGCTCAGCCTAGCTGGAGAGAGACATCCTTCAGAAACCTCCCTGATTTCCCTAGTACAATGGTTCCCACTGTCCACTATTTGCCTGCTGGTAACTCAATACCATACCATGCAGGGGCCTTTCAGACCCCAGCAGAGGTGACAGTGGGCTCCTCTGACTCTCCCCAGGAGTGCCTCCTATTAGGTGCAGGATTACAGTTCTGCCTGGGAAGGAAGTCCTTCCACTCAACGTTGTCCCCAACTCCTGACTTGACAAGCCAAATGGGCCAGAGAGCTCACCTCAGGCCTAGTAACAAACACAGCAATAATCCATGAGCAGAACCACCATGCAGAACTTGTTCATCCTTTTAAATGTTCACTCTAAAATTAACACTCTCATATATAAAATCATTCCCTGAATAATTTAAATGACAACCGTGTTTGAATTCAGCTAAGTGGCAAAATTTGCTTAATGAAAGCTACTGCTGGAGGGACCAGGAGTTAGTGTAATGGCTATGTTGCTGGACTCCCATGTAGTCAACCGCGGTTTGAGTCCTGGATCTGGTGGCTTAAACTCACACCAGGCGCGTGTGCATGTGTGCTCAAGATCCCGAGAGGAGAATGGAGAAGGAACATGGCCATCTACCCTGGGAGGTGATTTCTCACTTTCTGTCTCTCTGGCGAGTGCACGCACCCTATGGCAAAAACCTCTCCAAAGGGACCAGCAGTTAGCGTAATGGCTATGTCACTGGACTCCCATGTAGTTGACAGCAGTTCGTGTCCCAGACCTGGTGGCTTAAAACTCACACCAGGCACGTGTGCATGCGTGCCCAAGATCCCAAGAGGAGAATGGAGGAAAAGGAATTGTGGCGTGGCCATCTCCTCTGGGGGGTGATTTCTCGCTTTCTGTCTCTATGTCTCTGTTTGCCTGGCAAGCGCACACACCCTGTAGCAAAAACCTCTCCAAAAAAAAAAAAATAAAAAAAAAAAAAAAAAAAAAAGCCTCTCCAAAAAAGAAAAAGAAAAAAAAAAAAGCTACTGCTGGAGTGCTACAGCAGTAATGCAAATGAATCCACATGAGAAAATCCCAAGTTCATATCCCAAGATCTCCCGTATAAATCAGGTGCTTCTGTGAGTGCCTGTGATCCAGGCTGGTTGATATTCAAGGTGGACTGCAATATGAGGATCATGTTTGCAGTGTAGTCTCTGACTCTCTCAAGAAATAAACTTAAAAAAAAGTTAGGGTGGCAGGGTGGTTAAAGCAGCTGGATCCCACACAACCATATGCAGTTCAAGTCCGAGACCAGGCAGTTTAAAAAACATGCCAGGCATCGGGGAACAGCAGTTAGCATAATGGCTATGTAGCTGGACTCCCACGTAGGCGACCGCGGTTCGCATCCTGGACCCGGTGGCTTAAAACTCACGCCGGGCGCATGTGTGTGCGTGCCCAAAATCCCAAGAGGAATGGAGGAGAAGGGATTGCGGGGTGGCCATCCCCTCTGGGGGGTAATTTCTCGCTTTCTATCTGTCTGTCTGTCTGGCGAGCGCACGCGCCTATAGCAAAAATCTCTCCAAAAAAAAAAAAAAAACAAACAAAAAACATGCCAGGCATGTGTGCCCAAAATCCCAAGAAGAGAATGGAGAAGGAATAACTGCATGGCCAGCCCTCATGGGGAGTGATTTCTCTCTCTCTCTCTCTACTTTTCTCTGGTGAGTACATGTGCCCTATAGCAAACTTTTAAAAAGTTAGTGGACAGTCATACAAAATAAACAACATAGGTCTCATCTACCCAGTCACAAGCAAATTTCTCTCGTACTTCTTTCAGAGGCATACTCTGTGTGTGTGTGTACGCTAGATGGCACATACATTCACCAGAACAGAGAGGAGAAAGCATTTCCCATAGGGAATGATCACACGGCAAACCCCTCACTTCCATTTCTCCCTCCTTTCAAGATCTTGGGCATACACGCACACCTTCCTAGGGTGTTTCTCAAGCTGCTACATCTGGGGGCTCAAACTGTGCTGTTATAGGTGATAAAGCTGCCTTAGCCACCAGGTCATAGAGCCAGCTCTAGAGGCACAATCATTAAAATCATACTTATGACCCCACTACTGAGTCTTCCCACAGACCTCCCTTCTTTGCCTCACACAGAATTGTGCTCTCATGTCTCCTCTAGGGGACTTCAGGTGACTATTTCTCCCAATTCTCCCCACCCAAATATAACAGCAGGAGAAGGAAGAAAACAAGCACAAAGTAATAAAAAGTATGAAATATCGGGACCAGCAGTTAGCATAATGGCTATGTCGCTGGACTTTCACGTAGTCGACCGCGGTTCAAGTCCTGAACCGGCGGCTTAAACTCACGCCGGGCGCATGTGCGTGCGTGCCCAAGATCCCAAGAGGAGAATGGAGAAGGGATTGCGGTGTGGCCATCCCCCCTGAGGGGTGATTTCTCGCTTTCTATCTCTCTGTCTCTGTCTTTCTGGCAAGCGCATGCACCCTATAGCAAAAGCCTCTCCAAAAAAAAGTATGAAATATGAGTTTCAGGTTCTCTTCAAAGAAGTACAAAGAGCACATAAGGTATATGACCTTGAAAGAATCAGATACAGATCCCCTCCATCCCACATCATACTACTGAGGTGTTGGCTGCTCAACACCCATTCACCCTATTCCTTTTTTCCTTTGGACAACTCTCCCATGGAATTCAGGGATGGTATAGTCTGACTGATCAAATGGGCACAGAACACATCCAGGATCAGGACTTTCATGGAAGTTCTCTCTTCTCTACTAAGATTGCTTTACAGGCTGGATGGAAGACTAGGCTAATTGAAGCAATCCCAACACCACTCACACCAACACCTGTCTAAGAACAGTGCTACCTGAGGTTTGCAGAACTAAGCTGTGCACTGATTACTACTTGCACATTCTAGACGCCTAGATTCAACTCTGCATGAAATCTATACACATTCCTATTAAGTAAGACCTTTGGGTTCCTTTATTTATTTATTTTTTTTGGAGAGGTTTTCGCTATAGGGCGCGTGCACTCGCCAGACAGACAGAGAGAGACAGACAGAAAGCGAGAAATCACTCCCAGGGGGGATGGTCATGCCGCAATCCCTTCTCCTCCATTCTCCTCTCAGGATCTTGGGCACGCATGCACACGCGCCCGGTGTGAGTTTTAAGCCACTGGGTCCAGGACACGAACCGCGGTCGACTACCTGGGAGTCCAGCGACATAGCCATTACGCTAACTGCTGGTTCCCTGGGTTCCTTTCTTTTGAAGACAAATTACAACAAGTTCCACTCACCACAATGGACAGCGCCCTGTAACACTGCTGTGCCTACAGATAAACATGGGTATTTTTATATACTTGAATAGCATTCTTCCCACGGGGCTGTAGCCTTACCGCTCTTTGGATGTTTCATATCTGGGTTGGGAACTGGATTTGAATTAAATCGTTAGGTAGTAAATATTGAAAAAAAAAAAAAAAAGAGACCAGAAGATTACACCTGACTCAGAAGTTGAGATGATGCAGTTAATCTGCAGATGCAGATTCGAAGCCAGCACAGGTTAAGAACTTGTCCAGGGACCAGCAGTTTGCGTAATGGCTATGTCGCTGAACTCCCATGTAGCCAACTGGGGTTCGAGTCCTGGACCTGGTGGCTTAAAACTCACACCGGGCGCGTGTGCATGCGTGCCCAAGATCCCAAGAGGAGAATGGAGGAAAAGGGATTGTGGCGTGGCCATCCCCCGAGGGGTGATTTCGCGCTTTCTATCTCTCTTTCTCTTTCTGGCGAGCGCACGCGCCCTATAGCAAGAACGTGTCCAGGGCCAAAGTCCCACTCCACCAGGCAAATGTAGAGCCAGAATCCGGCTTCCACTTTACCGCGTTGATATTCTTTTATGTTATTATCCTCAGAGATACAATCCTTGGTACAATCATTTCTGTTGGCTCGTATGAGGCAGTTTGGGGTTCTAACTGTTCCGTAGTGAAGCAGCAGCGGGCTCAACGGCAGCCACCTTCTCCCCCAACACTGAGTTCCCAAGACACATTTAAGAAATAAAATCAATGCTAGCTCCTCGTGGAGCTCCTAACTCAAGTGTCCCAACTAAGAGGTCTCTTCCTAGGAGATCCTACCCTAGCGCCAACCAAGCCCCCAACCTGGCGGGTGAATCACTCCCGGCCCAGAGCCCGGGACGCCCAGACGTAACCGACCTCGAGTTCCCAGCAGGGACGCTCCGGGCAGGGCCCCGTGGGCGGCGGGAGCGACAGGAGACTGGCCGTGCGGTATCCCCCGGGGCCCTGCGCCCCGGACCCGCTGCTGCGGCCGGCTCCGGCGGAGTGAAGGAGCGGCCC